TTCAAACCTACGGAAAAGGATTGATAGACATAGGGTGTTTGCAACGAATACCTTAATAATCGATTCTTCACCACCGCTTCAAATGGGAGGATATCGATGATCGATCATTAACACCTCGCCACTGATGACTTGTGAATATACTAAGTTCTTGATTACACTTTATTATTGTTCTTCGTTGACGGGCAGAATTTTCGTAAATGAATAACCCAACTCGGACACTTCCAATTGACTGTGGTAGTACCCCAATACATTAGGCTACTAATCCGAATGTTGTGGTGGTACTCCAACTTGAGTTCCGGTACTACCAAGATTAATAGGAAATCTCCATATAATACAACAAATTGAGGTAGTACCACAGTGTAAGCCGATAATCCTTGACATACTGTATGTTCCGTAGATTTAGGGTGTCTACTAAAACAGGCTGGCCAAAAATCAGTACTTTTACAGAACTTTTTCGGTACATTCCCAAGATTTTCAGTGCCTCCTCAACGGTAAAAATGCAGTACTTTTTTAGTACCTCCAATTGACGAAATTCGAAAAATTTCAATAATTTAAATTTCTCACTCAATATGCGACAAAAATGACAACAAATTAAAAGAAAATTCCGGACCTCCTTGCGGAATGTCCGCACTTTTTTAGTATTTCTGGACCGCCTTTAATAAACCCGTACTATTTCCGGACTTTCCGGAAATTCCGGACTTGTGACACCCTGGTGGATGGATACATAAGAAAATGTCAGAGGTAGTAAGTAAAATTTATAAAAAATTGAAAAATTTAGTAGCGAATTGTAAGAACAGATTTATGAGACCATGATTATTGACTTAAACTCGAAAAATACTTAAGGCATTGGATTTCCCTTCACTACACTTGGATACCGAAGTGAGACCGAATTAATGAGGCCAGGTCGTGTTTCATCCGACTCCGACAGTCTCTTTCGAAGAATCAACTTAAATATTTACGATTCACGTATATGACAGAGTCGAGAGGCGATTAGTTTTACGATTGAGAAACCGAAAACGTTTGCGGATCGAATTTGAGCAGCCTCGAACGCACAAGCCACAGATTTGGCCAGAAGGCTGTTCCCTATTCGTATTTGATTAATTCACCGTTCTACTCTCTCCGGGCAGGCATGACTCATTGATTTGATGCGAATTTACGGTTATAGAACCTCGAGCTTTGAAGGTCCTCGGTGGGGCTCCAACCTCCCCCTCCCCCCTTGACAAATTTGGACAAAATATGAATTAAAACGCTGGAAAATCAACGTCTTATTAGTCGCTGCCGTGCTAAGGAAGAGCGCCGTATGAACATTCGAGAGTTCCCAAGTTTCTCCCTATAAAATGTGGTTTTTGGAAGGAAGTTTTGCATATTTTTCCTAGACATTTTCAGATATTTTAGATTAAACTGCAAACAATGTTGCCTGAAAAATTGGAAAAAAAATATTCATGACATTCCCAGCAGGAAATTCGAATTTCATCAAAGGCAACTTGGCAACGCCTGAGGGCTCATATGGCGTTCTTTCTTAGCACGGCAGAGTGAGGCACTGACTCTAATCAAATGGAAATCATTAACATGACGTCATACAATAGCTTTATCATTTAATCCTTGCATTTTCTTTGGAATTCAATTGCCGAACTTTCGATTACGTTAATCATTTTCTGTGCGTAAACTTTTAAGGGTAATCTTGTAAAGCAGAATGCATGTAGATCGCGTGCAATGTCAAATGCTCCATTAAGTTCCCTACTATGATACATTTCCCTTGGAACTGACGTGGCGTATCATATTGATCTTTATCAAATATAAATAAAAAAGCCACTAGGTTTTCTACCAGTTTTGTAAGGCAGGAAATATTAAATTGTGCGAGTAAATGCTCTGTGATTCACTGTGTCGAATTTTACTCACGAAGATTTTAAAAAAAGCCTATAGTTTAAGCCCTCAATTTTCAACTGTTAGGAATATGTAATGGTACTCTCTTGCACCCATGGAGGACCGCCTGTATCGATGCATTCAAAACCAACAAAATTTTAGAATATGGTACAGCCCACTGGCTTAACTCGCAGCCTCGTGCGTCTCTTTGTACCCTCCCTGCCAAAAAGTAAAATCAGGTGCACTTAATTAAATTGCATTAACCACTTCAAGCGCAGCAAAAATGTGAAAATAATTGAATTATTAGATATTCTATATGTACATATAGACTTACGGTCAAAAATTAATTGGATTGATGTATCATAGACAGTCAAAGCTATTTCAACCAGTGGCGTGTCGTGCTTTGTAATACATCGATGGATCTGCCATTTATACCTATGGAAGAGTATCGATAAACAGGGTGTTCGCAGCGAACACCTTAATAATCGATTATTTACTACAGCATCTAATGGGGAAATATCGATAGATCGCAGTGCACGCCACGCCACTGATTTCAACCTTAGGTATATAATTTTATTTAGAGTTCTCTTTATTTACGACCGGATTTACCTATAAGTTCTTTAACCGGAAAATTGCGGAAGCTGTTTCGCACTAAATTAATGTGATTACTTATTTCATTTAATTTAAACAAAAAATAGTTTTGACGTGACCGAAGATGATTTTTCCGACTGGTTGATTCATGATAGAATACAATCATACGTGACTTATTTCAGATAACTAAAAGTTTTCAGTAACTATTAGAACTGAACTAAGTATAATGATTCATTTTTTCCAAGAATTTTGTAAAATATACATAGTTTTAATTTAAAATTTGGAGGTATTTTTTACGAGTAAGAATTATTTAATACAAATTCGCGAGTGGACAGAAGCTGGATTTTTTTGCTTCAGATGCTGTTCAGAAAATACTCAAAGGTAATATTTTTTCAATAATATGGGGGTCTAAAACTTGAAAAATCAACGCTTGCCATTTTCATGTCCTCTTTGAATGCGATGTTTATCTGAAAACTTGAAAACAGTTGAAAGAGTATCTCGCAAGAGAAAGAAATAAGACATTTCAGCGGTGCCCGATCGCCTGAATTTTACTGCTTGGTCATAGAAGAAGAAGTCACGTTTGCATAGAGATTGCATTTCATGCTGCTGTAATATTACGAACCATATTTTCGACTTCTCTCATTCAGTGGAAGCAAATCAAACCTCCGGGCTGAGCTACCTCGAGCGGAAGCACAAGAGAATAATTTTTATGGGGGTATAAAGCCAGGATGTCTTTTTTCCCAACTTGTAATTAATGAACAGTTATTAAAATAAATATAATTACTACAAATGGACATTTGTAAGTCGGCAATCACATTACTCGGTTTGCAATGTCGTAGACTTCCTGTAATAAATTATTTTTTTACTCGGAAAACTACTCAACGGCAATTCTTTAAAACTGCCGTGACTTTTCTAATCCGTGCGGAGAAAATTCTGAAAAAACTTCAAGGAATGATGTCAATAATTTGTTCTCCTTTAAAAAAAATAACATGACGTAATTTTCAGACTGATTCCTATATCAATTTAGATATAAATGATTTATATAGGACCGGATTTACCTACTTGCTGCCCATGGGCCGCCTGTATTTTGCCGCCCCCTTCTCATTCGATTTGAAACTTCAATAAAAACCATCAAGTGAACGTGCCGGAGGTGGAGGGGTGCATAAAAAACGTTTATTCGAGTTGGACACATTCTTTGCAAAAGCCCTGTAAACAATACTAGCAAAAGTTCACGGACCTTTGCGCGATAGTCAAGTTCCGTAAACCTATCTCTGTGTGGACAAGGCCTTCCATTTCTAAGTAATGAGCGAAACATGATGAAAGAACAAACATAAATGTGGTTTAATAATTTTAACTTCCGCCGCGCCGCGCTGGCCGCACTGTATTTGGCGCAATGCGTGAAGTATCCATGCAGTCTTGTAGGCGTTATGCGTTTCCCGTCGACCGCTGCTGACCGCACAGTGTTTGACGCAATGCGTGAAGTATTCATGCAGTCTTGTAGGCGCTAATATGCGTTACATGCTGACCGCCGCGCCGCGCCGAGGGCTTCTCCTTTTCATCTCAAGTCCTCGTCATCATTGCTCTCTGCGCCGCGCCGTTCAAGGCCAAATTAGGTGTTTGGTTTCTCTCTTAACTCAACTAATTAAAGCCTTTCTTGTATCACCGAAAGACGGCAAAATTAGAAATTACAGTACTCTCAGGAAATGAGAGATTTTGTCGTCTTTTCTTGTTTGTAATTGTTTTTTTTTTTTTTTTTTTTTTTTTTCTGAATCCGATTTTTTTATACCTAAATTTGAAAAAAAAATGCAAAATTTGTCGCCCCTTTAAACTTGCCGCCTTGGGCCGGGGCCCATGTGGCCAGCCCCTAAATTCAGCCCTGTATACATCTACGATGATACTACAGGAACTCGTATATACCTTGGTTTGTGACGTTACAGACTCCCTCTCATAAAATTTTGAGCATGTCATTAAAAACTCACGCTTTCAATTGATTGTTCAAAATTTTAAATAAACTTTTACCGTTTTTAAAAGTCGATCGTGAGTGAAAAATTCCGACCAAACTATATCTTGGGGATGGGAAAATTTTCTCATTTCCTGGAGACTTTCCCGCGCTTATTCCTTGCTGTATAAAGAATATTCGGCGAATATGTCAAGTCCTAAGCAAAAAATTAGAAGCTCTATCAATTCAAAGGCGGATATTGTGGAGGGGGGGGGGGTTAAGAGGTATGATTCTCCAAGAAATCCATACCTACTTGGTCCGTACGTCCCAAGAAGTTTGCAGGATTATGCTAAAGTGGGTAAGTAAATGACAGTACCTAAGAGATATTTTCATCTTGGAAGGAAATTGGAATTGGATCCATTTTTCGGTGAGAATACAGCTCAAAATCAAATGCTCCTAAGAGGCGGCGATTTTTTATAATTGTCAGGAGAAGACTCTCCCTCTCCGGACTCCCTGTAAAGCTTGAGTCCGTTTTGGCTAACTCTGTCCTCATCGCTGTATGGGTGGAATACGGAGTCCAGCGGTAAAGATAAGTAGAAAAACTTACCTAATTTTCGAAGATCCGAGTAAATAGAGTTATTCCGATTATGAAACCATATTCCAAAATGCGTATGTTTTTTGTAAAACAAATCGGAGACCACCACTACCTATCAAATAAACCGAAAACAAAAATAGCAAAGCTATCACTCCAAATTAACTGATTTTTTTCACTCGCCAGAGCACACTAAATCATGTTTATAGAAACTCCTTAAATACTTGCAAGTAGCTTTTCAGACCCGAAATCAAACCACAATCATGTACCTAGATGAATCATCTCTTGTGACCACCAAAAATAGATAAATAATTAATCAATGACATGGACGACATGTTTTCTATTTTAACACTGCGGAAACAATAGTAAACACAAGGTGAGAGAAAACTGCTCGGGTAGAGAAAAGATCACTTTCAAATGGAAAAATGGACTAATTTGTAGAGCGATTAAATTTACTGTACGAGGAGAAATACATGGCTAGCGAATGAAGTAACTTGTGTAAGCTTGTAGAAAGTTTACGATTGATAAATTGACATTAGCTGTGAGAAAACACCGTAAAATATTCGTTCTGCTGGAGTGAATCCGAAAAACAGGAAAACACGTGTTCTCGCAAGGTTAGGAAACTTCGCCGGCGCGCTCTAACATCCGACCGACCGAAAGCTCTATTTCAGCGCAACTAAAAGCAAGGTGAAGACGGGGCGGGGGTACCAGGTCTCGAGCCCATCCCCTCCGACGCGGCGAAACAAATATAATTCGTCGGGCCACCGTAGCACAGCAGCACTTTCCATAACGCGGCTGCTGTCGTTTGACCGTTTGACTCTTTTGACCTTCAAGCTTCGCGGTCTGATGAAAGTTTTACGTCAACGTTGAGCAGGCAAGTTTGGAGGTTAGAGTATTTTGAAGTTTAAAAGTTCGATTGAACGAGGCAGGTGTAAATTTTTTACGAACGCAGGTTTCAACCTTGGTATCATGTCGCGGCTAGTGTTGTTTAGAAATTGTGCTTTTAGACTCAACTCCAAGAGCAATAATTGTTGTAAGAATGTGATAAGGTGTCTAAGCTCTGAGAGCAACAAAACTCTAGTCAGTCACCATGGGACAAATCTGTAAGTACATTCACTTTATGAGAGGTCAATGTGGGGGTCATTCTGCATCTCATGCAATCAATTTTATTTAGAGTGTTAAAATCTCCCCAATATTGTCTTTTTCTAAGAGGATGATTGCTCGATCTATTCATATATTTGAGCAAGTTCCCCTGCTAACACTGAGGCCTTGGCTATCTTTTAAATGTTCATCCACTATTCACTCAATGCCCCATGTGTTCGGGCATGAACCGAATATCTTGTTCCCGGGTGTCTGAAAATTTAACAGATCATCCAGTTTATTTGTCATGTCATTTTATCTGAGCTGCGCAAGTCCTGAATTGACCTGACTCACTTCACCGCATTGCCTCTCCGTTAGTACAAACGCAACAGTTTCTGTTTGGTTTTATTGGTCTCTAATGGGTAGGTCTAAATTAAAGTTGGAATCACTATTTGATGCAGAACAATAATAGGTACACCTTTATCAACTGCTAAAGTAGACAAATATTTACCAAGTCTGATTGCAATGTTTTTCATTTCTTCTCTCACATTTTAAGAAAAGACCAAGCCTTCCGAAAGTTTAGCATTAATTCTTGATGTCCATGTACAGCTGAATTTAATGCAGTACAGTCAGTTTGTTTTCCTACATTGTCATGACAGGAATGTTTTTAGATTGTCAAGATAGGCATATGATTTCCTACATTTATCACTGATATCAAAGTCATGAGAGTATATGTGTGGTTTTTTAAAGCGGGATGACGCTGCCTCCCAATTTTCTGTTTGCTGAAACATAAAGCGGGCAAATAAGCCAATTGTCTGTACTTCAAGAGAGGTTGTAAAATATTGGTTGCAGTTTTTGGCAACAATCTGAAGCCTTAAATTATGCCGTTAGGTCAGGTGACTAGTCCTGGGTTCTTGGTATGACCCAACTATGGTTGACCTCTTATGGTGTAGTGGTTATAGCGCTAGCTCTATCATCGGAAGGTCCCAGGTTCAATTCCCGGCCAGGCGACCCAAGTTTGATGGTCTCAAACTATGGTTGCCTGGGACTGGTTGTAGGGACGGGACTAAAGCGCAAGGATTAGCCCTCGTGGGCTATTTGAAGTAGTATAAAAAAAAAAAACTGGCAAGCTATTTATTGCGGCATATAGTTTAAAATCTTGACAGATTTTGACTTCTTAGCCATCGAAAAGTCTAAAGCCCTTGCATATGAGCCTGAAAAATCTTTCCTAACTATAATGTTTCTAAAAGTCAGAGAATTTAAAGTAGGATTCTCCTCGCAAGTACTCCCATAATCTTTGTGTGAATGCAACAGTTTTTCTGTTCAAAGAAAAACCCTGGGATTCGTTTCTCTAATTTTTGCAATTTTTTTTTCGCTGAGAATGATCCCTCAGGCTCCTGCGCAAGGGCTAGTTCTTCTTTTGGCCAAAAAATCAAAATCTGCCCAGATTTTTTACTTAATAGGCGTGATGTATTGCTTGCCAGTTTGACGATGTCAAGAACCTGGGGCGTTTTACCTCAAATACCTCATGAGCAATTCCCAAGTAGGAAGAGGAGTGTTGTTGAAGTGGGTTGTGTTGTTACTTACTACAGCAAATTATAAGGTAAGTAGCTTGATCAAATGTTCAGTGATAATTTATTTTCTCATTTATTTTTCTTTTACAGCTCCAGGGCGGACAATTTCTTTAAAGCAAAAACGCAGTCTAGTCATAGAAATGTTTTTCGCAACTATTCAAGTGATGCTGATTTCCCTGATCACAACAAAGTACTCTTACCAGCCCTATCTCCTACCATGGAAATGGGAACAATTGTATCATGGGCTAAAAAAGAAGGTAAAAATTAGTGACTTTTATTTATCCTATTTCTATCACCTACGTAGTATGTATAATTCCTTACCCTCTAAAGTATAAAATTTGTGAAGGATAGATCTTAAAGATTTAAGAAAGACGAATCCATACATGTCAGTCTCAGATTATCTTTCTGAAATCTGCCCGCTAGAAGGGTACGGCTACATGATGTAATATGGCTTTGCAAAACATTTTGGATGAGAGGTTTCTCAAACAAGTGTCAATTTACTTCTAGGAAGGCATGCACAAGTGGCGTTTGGGTGTCACAGAGTGTCAAAGTGTATTGCACACTTAGAAAATCTTATTGTCAAAGTCTGTTCAGGAACATTATCGCTGTGGAAACGGTACTGTCAATACTTCATGTTCTGAAAAGTTGTGGCTAAAAGGCAGAGTCAGTAATAGGCTCAGGGTCGCGTCTAAGAGTCACATCTCAGAAATATTAGCCCATCTATTCAACCTAAAGTTGCCAAAGCCAATCATTCCTTAACATCAGACTGAGCCGCTTGCCTGACTCTGCCACTTTCCATGGCATGGGCTATAGCTGACATTTGCGGGAAATTTGACTTCTTCTCAGCAACAGTAATGTGCTCTATGCCATGAAAGAGACTAGCGTAATTTTCCCTTTGAAAACAAAGTTTCCTAAGCAAGCATTGCATGTAATAACAACTTGAAAATCTATAAATCATGTACTTACTCTTCACTCAGAATGTCAGAGAACGGCATGTTTGCCATTCCGTCACCAAATTTTTCCAATTGCAATTCGATGGTGTCGCATCTTAGGGGACGAATTTCTTATTTGGAAAGATTCGCAGCTGAAGGTTTGGTCCGAGCTGTGGGAGGAACTAATAGATCTTTTGCCTCTCTGCTGGTCATTCTTTATATTTTCTTTTCTTTCTCGCAATTATTTTGATTTTCATTCTGTTTTTCCGCAGGAGACAAATTGAATGAAGGAGATTTATTAGCTGAAATCGAAACTGACAAAGCAACTATGGGTTTCGAGACCCCTGAAGAAGGTTATCTTGCCAAAATTCTGGTGCCTGCAGGAGTCCGAGATGTGCCCATAGGGAAAGTAAGTTCTAAAGTCTGAGTTTCTCATGATTGATCTTCTTACTCTCATGTCATGACATTAATTTATTTCTTTTACATTAGCTCTTGAATCAACTTAGATTCTCTTTTTTAGCCACATTTTACTTGTTTCTAATAGCAGTGAAGAGCTTTTAGTGTCACAAAGTTTACCCTAAACAGGCCACTTTGAACATATGAAAAACTGGTTTACTTTGGTATTCTTTTATTAGTAAGAGATTCCTCTTGCAACCATAGATAAGTAATAGAAGTTGTGAAAAAAGTTTCCTTTAGGTTCATGAGGAAAAAAAGAAAATGGCAATCCTCCCACCATGCCAAAAGATTCCAGGATTTTGTATTGCTTCTATGTGATGAGGGGATATTTGAGCTCAAAAAGTTAAAATTAAGACTCTGGAATGATTCAAAATGATACTCCGATTTCTATCAGTAGGTTATGAACTGCAGTATTAATCTACAGTATGCATGGAGGTGCAGATATTTCTCGATCATGCAAAAAGCATGTCAAGCGCCAAAATAGGAAGACAACAAAAAATGGTTTTTGCAACCGGGAATGCCGCAAGGAGATATCTTGAATTTGTAAAGCTGGCTCCTGCCTGCTTAAAAATGGTGTTTTATATGCAAAACCACTGCTGCTCATGAAAATTGATATAAGATGGTACTACCTAAAACTGCACCCACAGTGTGCTCAAGTATCTAAAACACTGAGGCTTTTTCCAATGCTTTCAAATAAATATTGTTAGCTTTTTCTATCAAATCGAGTTAATTTCATTCCGTCATCACTCTATGTTTAGCTTGTTTGCATCATTGTTGATGATGAAAGTAAAGTCGCTGCATTCAAAGATTACAAAGACGATGGCTCCGCCGCACCTGCTGCTGCTGCAGCACCTGCCCCGACACCAGCGCCTGCTGCTCCGAAGCCTGCCGCTGCTGCACCACCTCCACCTTCACCAGCTCCTCAACCAGTTTTCACTCCGTCATCTGTACAGTCAGCAAGTCATGGCTCAAGGATTTTTGCAAGTCCTCTGGCCAAGAAACTTGCCGCTGAAAAAGGCCTTGATCTTGCGGTAAGTTCCCATTATCATCCCCTCATAATTAGCTGATTAATCAAGGCACACTCAACTACAGGTATGGACAAATGGATTTTTAGAAAATTATAGAAAAATGTGTAGATTTGACAGCGGCTAATGGTACAACTGCGTCGCCATTTTAAAAACTTGTTTACTTTCTGTTCTGATAGTGGGTCTCATCAATTTTGTGTTATTTTCTCAAGTTCTTACTCAAGTTTTTTGTTATTTTGAGTTTTATCAATTTTTCAAATTCATCTGATAGCTTATTGGAGCTACCGGATCTGCCAGAACCTCATTTTGATCTGCGCGGCAAAGACGGTACGACTTGCGACGTCACTCGATGACCTATATTCTCAGGGCTGCCACTTCGCGCCCCGTTTGTCTATACCTGTAGTAGAGTGTACCTTGCTGATTAATAGAGAATCAAAAATTTGGGGGTTACTTTTTCTTATCAGAGAAAGTGATAGGAATCGTTGGAAAATCTTGAATCAAACTGAATCTGTCAAAAAGTTCCCGTTGTTCCTTTTCAGAAGACCAAATCATGAAATTTGTTACCAGCACCAAGAGTTTAGACTTGTATTTTAAACTAATGAGCCCTTATAAGTGTTATAAAATAAATAGTATATAGAAGAGCTAATTTTGGTATGTATATTCCATGCTGCCAATCCAGCGCAATAGAGCGCTCTGCAACTCCCAATCGCCATTGGAAGCAATCCTCTCATGGATTATGAGGTTTTGGTAAAATGTGCTTTATCTCCGCTCTGTATTACAGGAAAAGGTTTTGAAAACGTTCAAATGCTTTGTCCTCTTATTTACAGTCGATTGGTCAAGGATCTGGTTTATTTGGCTCCATCACATCGAAAGACCTCGCAAAAGCCAGTGTTGCCTCGGCTCAAACAACCATTGCTGCCCCAGCCAGAGTAGCTCCTGCAGGATCCTTCTCAGATTTGCCCACAACAGGTGTAAGAAATGTCATTGCAAAGCGGCTTCTGGAATCTAAACAGGTAAATACATTAGCAAGAATTTTCCATAACCTGTCTTTTTTTTTCTTTCTTTTTTAAATAAGCAAGGCAGTTAGTGGCTCAGAAAGTCTCCAAAACTGGATGTCAAGTAATTTTTGAAGATTGATACAATAAGGGTATGTATGAAAATACACATTATGCAAATTGTGCAGTTTAAAGTGTATTCTAGACTTTTCTGATATTTTTGCTCAGCCCAGTTTTATTTATTATTCTATTTTCTGTGCAAATTCTATTCAGAGGGGGTTAAGTCCTCCTCATCATAAGTATTCAACTTTTTCTTACAATCTAGTTATTTACAGATGGAGTTTCTAGGGTTTTTCTTCAATTCATCATCGTCTTAATGAAGCTGTTTCATTTTTTCAGACCATTCCGCACTACTATTTGACTGTAGACATTTCTATCGATGAAATCATGAAACTGCGTAAACAGATGAATGCTGCTTTAGAGAAGGAAGGTGCAAAATTGACTGTCAATGATTTTATCATCAAAGCGACAGCCTTAGCTTGTAAAAAAGTTCCTGAAGCTAATTCTGCATGGATGGATACATTCATAAGAGAGTAAGTATTTTTAAATTTCACTTAAATTTAAAAGGTAAGCCCAGAAAGGAAAGAATCGATTAAACGCACCAATGTGAAATTGTAAAAGGACTACCTGTGCATGGAATACAGTAAGACCTCGAATTATCGGATTGCGATTTAACGGATCGATCCTCTAGTCCCTTCAGCAGGACCGACTAGTGCGATTTAGCAGATCCACTTAATGAATTCGGCCTCCGGTCCCGTGAAATTCGATAAATCGAGGTCTTACTGTACAAAGAAATTTGGTACTGGCTAAATTTCAATATCTTTGACATGATATGATGTTCCTTACGGCCTTTTGAGCATGATAAGCTTGTACGGTCAAATTTACATTGTGCCAATCTTGAGAAAAGCGATATGCAAAAGTGAAATTTTTCGCACTTTTACTTGCAATAACTCCAGGAAAAGTTGCAACATCTGATCGGTGATCAAGGAAGTTTTTTGTTACTTTGCAAGCCGAGAACATAACACCAACTGAAATAATCAGATTCCTCTGAACAATAAGAGCACCCAGTGCAGCCACCCACACTCGCATAGCAACTTTTCCGCTTTTCCAATGAGTGAAATTTAAGAACAAAAAGATGTGACTGCCACAACTATTTTTTCTAATTCAGGAATATTTAAATTCTGGTATAATGTTGAAAATGATTGTTGTATGGTATGGCCATTATCAGAGAATGGCAGAAGACAAGTTGTGGAAAGAAGTCCTATATTGGGTTCCTCACAGGAGAAGGACAAAGGGTGCCCAATAAGAGAGAAGAGACTGATTCAGTAATGCTAGAGTGCTCAATTCTTAGCCCAATCAGTGGCTCAATAGAGAACAGTAGCTGTTTGGGGTTTTGTAGTGTCAAGAAGTGCTGTAAAGCAACATGCACACATTACATGTTGTTAAAAATCCGTCAGCTCAAATGAAGGATGGAAAATTCCTGCAACATGAATCAAGTTCTTCATCTGTCACACAAAATAAAACATTTTTCCAGTGAGTCGCGGCAGTAGCTCCTTGCATCCTTACTCAGAAATCGTGCATGTTTTTCTTACTTTTCTGTCTCCTAGAACTTTTTTCGAATCAAAGTTTGCTAAAAGTTATCCATTATCTATTGCTTTGAGCCGTTGTGGTGTTGTGTTGATCTAAATAGTCAACAGAACTTGACAAGTTCCTACCTTTTTTCCTTCCTGTTACTGATTCTTCTGTTTGTGTTATTTTTGCCCAGGTTTCACACTGTTGATGTAAGTGTTGCTGTGAGTACGAAGACCGGTTTAATCACACCCATAGTTTTTGAAGCAGAGAAGAAAGGTCTCCTTGAGATTAGCCAAGAAGTTAAAGCATTAGCAAATAAAGCAAGAGAGGGCAAATTGCAGCCCCACGAATATCAGGTAAGACTTGACAATTGTATTTTTTATCCAGGTAAAACTCCTAGACTTGCCTTTTCTATAGAGGATTTAGAAGTATTGGTGAAAACAATTAGTGCCTAAAATTAATGGGTTAAGTTTCCAAAGCTTGACTTTAAACATTTTTGAAATGAAGGGTCAGAAGCTGATTCCCACCTTCATCAAAAAAATTAGTATGACAGATTTGTTTCGCAAAATGTGAGAGTGCCATTCCAAGTTTGAAATTTGATTTCCGTCTCTTTGATTCTACCAGAAATTAAGATAGGTACTGGTTGAGTGGTGCGCATTCTTGACTTACAAGTTCACGAAAAAACCAAACCAATCACAAAACTTGCACTCTTTTTGAACTCTTTTTGGTGCACGGTCTCTGCAAGCAAGGGAAGGAAGCACTGCTTTCCTTGTATCTGAATTGGCAAAGTGAATGAAAGATAAATATTTCCTACAGCTAATTTTGAAGTTATCAACATTTTTGTCCATTCACTTAAAATTCCTCTCAGAAAACACATTATGGTAAAATTAAACTCCGAGTCTTTCTCTTCTGTCTGAATGTCCAAAGTTCTCTGTGTTGAAAGCTTCCAGGTAATTTTTTAACTCTTGCCAAATTTGTTTTCAAATCACAAAAATATCCCAGAACTCCTTTATCCTTGATACTCTTGGTTCATCTGTTGCCTTATCAGCAAAGGGGAGGCATTCTGGATAAGTAAGATTGTACAATTTGCACTGGCAGAAGTTCCCCAAAACTCTGAACTTGACCGCTGACCCTATATTTTAGGTTACGTCATGCCACCGTTTTAATTAATTTATTTTACTTTTTTTCTGCAGGGAGGAACCATCTCTATATCAAATCTAGGAATGTTTGGAATTAGAACCTGTAGTTCTATTATCAATCCCCCGCAATCCTGTATTTTGGCTGTAGGTGCTCCCCAAACACGTCTTGTTCCTGATAGCAACTCGCCAACAGGGTAAAACTCTCAATGCCTCTTTTTTTGTTTTCTTCTTCTTGTAGGTTACGCGCATCTTCTTCTTCTTGTTAATGGTACTACACCCCCTCATCGGCTTTGGCCTTTAAAACAACTCCTTACCACTCCATCCGTCCATTTGTAATCCTCCGTCTCTATTTATATACAAGCATTGTCCTCAAGACTTTTCTTGAGTCTACCTCAATATGTCATCTTTATAAGGCGAGTGGGTACTCTCGGGTGGGTTTGGGATAGAGCTGAGGAACAACGTCAGTGATTTCCAGGAACAAGATATTTATATTGGTACAGATGACAGAGAAACAACCTTCGCTTCCCAAGTGGTGACAGCGAGAACTGATTCTAAACTAAACTTCAACGAAATTTTAACAAAAACTTCCTGTAAATTTCATCAAAAACTTTGACTGAATTTCATCTAAACTTCATCTACTCTCGCGGAGGACCATGGTCCTTTTGCATTAAGGTCCCTGGACGGGCCCTGGCACGTCCAATGATCAACCATTTTATAGTATCGGACAAGGCGCTCCATGGCCAAGACTGAATATCGGGCCTGAAAATTCGACCCCAGAAAAGTTCCCCTCATGCCGCTACCCGTAACAAATCAAGCATGAAAGTGCTGAGCAGTAAGGCCGCCAATCCTATGCGCGGGGAGTCGAGATGGAAATGGGACCATTCACGTTCTCCATTTTCCATTATTGATCCTTTCAGCCCATAGATCCTTTTAATGATTTTCAGTTAAAATATCAGGTGTATGTTTTTTTGTCTTTCTTTGTTAGGGTTCTATGTACATCTATTGAAGGTAGATAGATTTTTTAGCACATTAAAATGTTTCTCTGACCTTGAGTGTCCATCAAAAAGCACATGGTTTTATGGTACATCTGTGGAAGAATCTTGTTTTGCTGTTGATTTTCAATGTCTGGTAGCAATATCTAGTAGCCATAGTACAAATTGAATTAATTTTCTATCTTGGAATGCTTCCGAAAATTATTCTTTGCAGCATAGTAGAAAGCTATAAAATGAATTCTTGAGCAAAATGTTTAAGTTCTAAGTTATGTTAAAGAAGTGTAACTTGTAAAGAAAATGAAGCCATTCATAACTCAATAAATCCTACCTTATATTTTTTAATATTAGGAATAGTAATTATAGGATGTAATGTCTGACTTAAGAGGAGACTTTGAAGGATCATATTTGGATACAATAAATTTTACGGCATTTCTTTAATTTTTGTGTTTATTGTTTTCATTACAGCTCTCGACCGTCCGATTTTCTGCAAGTAACTCTTAGTTGTGATCATAGGACAGTTGATGGTGCTGTTGGTGCCCAGTGGCTAATAGCTTTCAGGCAGCTAATCGAAAAACCAACAAATATGCTCCTTTAAGACTTGTGCAAACTCAATTTTTTTTTTTAGAAAATTCAGGAAAATTTTCTAACTGTAAGTATGTGCATATACTTAATGCAATTTAAGTCTTGTTAAGTGTCAGAATGTAAGATTGTTAACTGTTACTTTTTTTATAATTGAAAGATGCTGTGCAATGATGTCTTAACCCGTCTGCGCTAGCAGTATTGCTACCATTGGCAGTTGGGTGTCGTAGGGCGCATGGAAGCGTTTTAAGAGAAGCATGTTAGTAGAAGCAGCAAGATGTATTCATTCACTTTCTTATATAGGAGGGGCTACTGTTGAAAACAACATGATACAAGATGCTCTCAGAAAACCTTCTAAAAATTATACTAATCTGACTGGAATCAGCCTATTGCAAAATCCCCTTTGGTTTTTTACTTTTTAAATCAGAAAACTAAACAACATTAAAACCTAAAACTTTGGGAATATATTCTTCATCATCCAGGGTTTTGCTTAAAGTTTAAAAGTGTCAAAGTAAGTAAGCCGAGAGTAAATTTCCTTGAGGGCTGTATATTGTTTACCAAGTAAAGCAGCGCTTTACCTAAAAATAAAAAAAATGGCTGGTAAAGGTCAAAGTAATTGGTTAAGTAAGTAGTTTAGCTCTTTGTTAAAAAAGTCAAACATAAGAGAAAATTAGACAATGTCAAATGCCATTGGGCTCATTCCAATTAAAGCCATTGGATTAATTTTACAAAGTGATTCATCATCAGTTATCATTCTGCAGATCAGTTATCACTAGTTTGGAGGAAGGGAATGATATTTTACATCTCTTCAAAACTAACCTCTTGCTGTTAAAATCACTGTAATAATACTAAAAAAAAAAGAGAATCTATAAATTCTATGCCAGACGAATCACTGAAGTCCTTTCCTGGTCACTATCTTTGAATTCTGTATTCTTCTTCATATTTATTCAATATTGTATTATTATGGCTCAGTTTTTGTCACTTTATTTCCATAAAGATCCTAAAGTCAGTGGAACCAGTCAGATGCAGTTTATTTGAAAAAAAATCCAAGATTAAAAATTAAAGACACATATTTAGCCGGGTAACAAGATGTAAACGAGACTTTGAAACAAGACCCCCACTAAACTGCTCAATTTTGTGTAATCTCTTCAGAATTTTCCATAAAAAATTATTTGCAAACAGGAAATCTACTCAAAGCAAGATATCAGTGTTTAAAATTACCGGCATAATCTATTTAAAATGGTAAACCACTCATATTTTCACTTTCCCCCCTTTTGATCAATGCACCAAGCTGGTAATCATTGAAGAGTTGATGTTTCAGGGTTTCCTGCAGTCTGGAAAACCTGGAAAGTTTGAGAATATACAGCAACCTGCAAAAATCCGGGAAATTCAAAAGAAAATCTAGAGAATTCTGCAACAAACTTGTTGGTTCGGCAACTGATGCTGGTGGCATTTAAGAAAGTCTAAACAACTTCGAAATTCCTTTTTCCTCACAATCAGTTTGAATCACTAGAAGTTGAAATTATGTTCAAGATTTAGCAAAAGTCAGCGTAATTAAAAGAAAGGGAAAAAATCTATGTTGAAGTTTTGTTTGAAGTCAGGAAACAGGGAAATATTTTACGATTGGAAATTTACAAAAGAAATTTGCAGCACGCTGCATTGTTTCATACTTCTTCCACTAGTTCATCATGTTATGTTTTGATTGTTTACAGGCCACAACATGCGTCGCGGGAGAAAACGAGACTAAGGCTTCAGCTCACTGAAACTTTCACACTTGGTTACAACTCATTCAGTAATTTAAATGCAAGTCAAAGCGCACTCTCATTGTTGATCAGTCAAACTGCTTTGCTCCGACATGTAAATCTAGATTTTGTTTCACAATATAAGCAGCAAGGCATTTAGTGATTAGGTCTCAATGTACCTGGCTTTAGTAATTATCTATTTGGTTGGTCCTATGACCAAGTTCTGTGTACATCTCACTGAGGATTGTGTAATTCTTCCAAAACAACAAGGATCCCCAAAATTCCTCAGAAAGTAGGATTTTCAATAAAATTTTGAAGTCAGTTGCACTTAAAAATATTAAAACCGCGCTGAGGATGCCGGAGTTGCGAGCCGGAAAAACGCGTCCACATTTTAATATTTTTACATGCAAATGAGTTTAAAATTTTATATTGATCATTTATTTTGTGCAGGTCTCCGAACGAATCTTGAAGTAGGATTTTGATGACTGTAATGTCGGGGTAAAAGACAGAACGCACTCAAATGGAATTATCCTTCCGATCAGCAACAAAAATACACGCACGAAAAAAATACCTCTTTGGCATTTTAACTACTTAAATGAAATTGCTAATAGACTTGTTTTGCTATTATGTATGTCTCTCATACATAAAGATATTTGCTTCTAAACACTTTTCCTATGTTTTCCTCCTCCTCTTGTTCTACTTCAACAGGTATTTTAACAATGTGTTGAAAATAAGAAAAAATTAGAGTTTTGTCAGATTTTCTCAATCAGTCGTCATCATCTTCTTTATTAAAATTATAGACCATCACAGAAAAATTATAATTGAAACAGAATTTGACTTACTGACCAACCTGATCAAAAATAGTTTTTAAAACAATAATAAATATTCATTTTATATTAAAAATGATGGCATAGGCTCTAAGTTGTAGTTCCACTGAAGCCCTCAATGTGTGGAAATACGCATGGACCCCTTCAAACGCTTATGGTCAATCGAATGGGTGAGAGCCAAAAGGACGTAAAAGTGCACCAGGCGAAGTAAGATCTAAAGCCCATTGTTAACAGTGTTTTCTCTTCAAAATTTTATGCTTATGAGCGTAGTGTTTTTTTTTTTTTTTTTTTTTTTTTTTGTTTCTATGCTCCTCTCTTTTTTTTTTCTCTTGTCTGGAATTCATTTTTCTTTTTTTTTCTTCCTGATTTCAGTCAATACAATTTTTTGTATCAAATTATGTGCAAACTGGAGTACCAATATTTTATTACCAAATGGTTTTAGTCTTGGTATAGACAATAATTTCAAAATCTGCAATGTTGATCAAGTGAGAATGTTTCTCCCTAAATATCCCGGTGTCCTATATTTTCTGTTTAATTGTTGCTAGGTTAATATAGAATCTACCATTGTAAGTGGTTAAAGTTGTTTTTAGTGGTCATGAAGATGAGGAAGAAGCAGAATTGTCTTCTCTGAGTACGTAAATTATACCTCTGAAAATTGCTTTTACATAATTTTTGTACCAAGATTTCTGATACAAATTCAATATTTGAATCGCACAAAGGATTATTGAGTATTTCTTTTTTTAGGACAGAGAGTTGTGTTGTCCGTTTTCTCATTTTTTTTCTCAGTATCTACTTAGAATCTCTTTTGGCACCACTTTATTCAATATTTGCTGTACCCGTCAAATATGTTCATCAAGCATGACCATTCTTCGCTATGCCAAAAATGAAAACGCTGAGTATCATTCACCTGAGACTTGGTACCACTTATAACCTATTTTCTATAATTTTCCAAAAGATGGTGCTGTTTATCAATGTAACAGGGTGGTGAAATAGTGCTGGGTCCACATTATGCGGTTACATACAGTTGTTGTTACGTACAGTTCAGGCCGAATTTTTAGTGTTTTTTTTTTTCTTGTTTATCAATAAATTAATGAGTACTTAACACATCTGAGCCTCGCACGAAAAAAATAGTGCAGTTTTCAGGGAGTTCACCATTTGCATAATTTTTTTCTGTCAAAATGTGTAACTGTCATAACCAATCTGTTGTAATTAAACAAAGAAAAAATTCTATGTATTAATGTAGTGCTCTTGTGCATAATTTAGTCACCCAACAACATTGAGTAATATTTTTTGGTGTACTTTCAAACAGATGAACAAGAAGGACATTCATGCCCTGTGGGTAGTTGTGGAAACATCACAAAAATGAATTTGCTCCAAGCTAGATAATTTTTTTCTTTCCTCTCTTCTTTCATCTTCATGGACATTTTTGAAAGCATAACAATCGTTATATCTTCGTTATGATCTTTAAAGAAGCTAGTGCTGTAAGTTGCCGAAATTCATAGATTTAAGGATGTAATTGTCACAGTTGATTGAAATGATGAGGTTTCATTCGAATTGTTTGTTATTTAGTGTATAAAAATCTTAAAGCAGTCTATGTTTCGTTATTTGCTCACACAAAGGATTCCCTTAGTTTCAAATCAATTTTGATTTTGAACCCTCGGACTTTGCTGTTTTTGCTGTCTAATATGGGATCTGTTCAACAGAATCAGTCGGCTCCAGTAAATTTGTTTGTCGAGCTGTATGCTATTCTTGAATTACTCAACATTCCGTTAAAAATGCCTTTATTCTATTTAAGGCTTGCAGGTTGCTTTCATCATAATGATCTTGGCTTTTTAGTGTCGGTAACGAAACCTAACTGATGTATCCCAGTTATTGGTAAACAAAATTTGTTCACAATCAGTCATTGGATTTATTAACGTAATCATTTTGAATCATTTTTTTCTTCATCCTCGGGTTTTGAAATGATTTAAAATCCATTTATGTTTGGTTTTAATCCTGTGTTTATTTCTTTTTCGTTTTTCTTACTTTTTTAAATGTTATTGTAACAAATTCTGTCTACCCATCAGTTTGTAAATCTTGTACCATCAAAAATGCCATAAACATTTAATTTATTTTGTTTTATATATCGGTGATTTTTCATTCGATCGTCCCACCTCAAACTTAAAAGCCTGCTGTGCTGAAGTTACTTAAAAATGAAGGAAAGTTATAAGGAAGTTACTGTGGATGTTGCAATTAAATCTCTCACGAGATTTTCATGTAAGGAAGTCAGGACACATGATAAAGAAAAGAAAATGTTCAATCCTACCAATTGAAAAGGAATGAAAATTAATTATTTTAAAAGTAAACACATGTAGACCTTGAAAATTAGTATCTTTTATGTAGGGTCTTTAGTGATCAGGAAGGCCAAAAGAATGTAGGCGTGAATAGTGGAAAAACCATTTAATTAGTCAAAGTAAGTGAAACGAAGGTACCCCCTTCCCTGTATTCTAAAACTAATTATGCACAAAAATCACAGACACAGAAAACATCTCAGCCTAGAGCATGTTGATGGCTGACAGTCGGAAAATGCGTTGCTCTGATTGCGACTGTGCGAATCCTCACTCATGCTTTATTTATTTTAAAGGGAACTGACCAACAGAATTGCTTGAAAATTTCTTTGAATTTTTTTCCATCTTTTCCAAAATATTCACAGTTAGTTTCAAGGAGATATTTTGGTTGGCATCCTTTTAAAAAAATAAAACAATATGGGACATTTCTATCTATTAACAAGGCTGCTCGATCGGTTAGGCGTATGGTATCCCTCAATCTTGGAATTTGAGAAATGTTAGCTACTCTAGGCGTAGGCATGCTATGAAGAATTATAATTCTTATATAGGAATTAATTATCTTCCAAAAAATCCTATCTTGTACCTGAACCGGATAAACCTTTTGATTTGCCTCAGCTGAAGGCTCCTAGCTTTCTCCCGTGTGCGATATCTTCGCGGCGCCAAGACCAATCCACACAGGTCAGTCATTCCCGTGGACGAGTTTTGGTACTCTACTGCGCAGTGACGTACTATTGAGTGCTTGCAATGTATTTCTTATGGGAGCACCCATTGTGACGTACTATTGAGTGCAGCCGAGTTCTAGGGCCGGGCGGGGAAGTGACTTTCAAAAAGATGCGCAATGACTGACCTGTGTGGATTGGTCTTGCGCGGCGCTTTGTGCTACTATTCCGCCCTGGATGTGTTGCACAGTATCATACGAGATTGAAGGCACCCCCTACGTATCATGATTGATGGCATCTTTCAAAATTTTGAAGTTCCCTCGCAAATTAAATCGAGCAACGACGACAAAAAGAGAGTGGTAGTCGAAAAACGTACTAAGTCCTAGTGTCTGTATTCAATTACGTTGAGCATGATTTTTTTAACTTCATTAGAGGAAAAAGTGACTTGGTCCAAACAGAAATATGCTCAAATTTACCGCAGAGAAGATTTTCTTTTGAAACAATTTAAGGAAATTATGATGTTTAAAGGAGAAAAGATACTCACAAATGAAGAAAAATCACTTACATCAAGCAGAAACAAACTTTCATTCAGCGATTCTATTCTTGGTTCAAAATAAAATCTTCGTGGCGGCATACTCAAGAATGTTTTTTGCTTAAACCAAGTCACTCTTTTCTCTGATGAAATTCAAAAATTATGCTGAAAGTTATTACATACGGATGGTCGGACTTGGTGAGTTTTTGGACAACCGCTCTCTTTCTGTGCCGTAGTATCTTGATTTATTTTGCGAGGAAAGCTCTGTATCTTAAAGTATGGCTGTCATTTAATATGTCGGAGCGTCATCAATTTTGTATGATACTGTGCAATACTTCGTGAAATAGTTGCTTGAAGCGCCGCGGCGGGTGAGGGCAGCCAGCACGACACGCGCATTGGCGCCTACAAACCTAACAGGGATACATCACGCATTGCGCAATGCGTGAAGTATCCCTGTTAGGTTTGTAGGCGCCAATGCGCGCATTGCGTGAAGTATCCCCGTTAGGTTTGTAGGCGCCAATGCGCGTGTCGCGCTGGCAGGACGCCGCGCCGCTCCGCTTGGTTTCGCTCTAATATTTAAACTCGCGGAGTCAGCGTTTTTCAGCTCATGATTTTGAAATGTTTGCACTCACTCTCTGCCGGATTATTCTCATGAAATTGATGAAAAAAATACGCGTTAGAGGAAACTATATTGTGTGTTTTGTAAATATTAAGGTGGCTCCATGTCAAATTCAATGATGTCTAAAGCACTTTAATTGTTTTTTTTACATTTTGTGCTTTCACTGTGCTGCAGCATTGTGCACGCGCAACCAAACTCTCAAAATTGGACGTATTTGATTCTAATAGACCGATGTACAAATTGGTTAAAACCAAAAGTTGCGTGCCTCTTGGTTTTTTCCCCACTTTTATTCATTTTTGTTTCATTTCTTTCAACGCAACTACGGTTCATTCAGATTAATATCGATGCCATCGCTTGGGAAAGGTTTTACAAATAGTTAATTGTCACGTTTTTAAAAATGTCAATATTTTGAAAATGAAGTAAAATTTCCATTTAAAAAAAAAAGGTAAATATGAGGTGTATTATAAATTGAAAATTACCGTGTTTGTATCCACCTCGGACGCCCTGAATGGCGCAAGAGGAGGAATACCTTTAAAGAAGAAGGAATAGTGGGAGCCACACGTTTGAAGCGAATCTTCGAGTTTTGGTGGAAAACAACCAGATTGTGTTAGCTGATGGAACCTTCAAATTCGCCTCCAAATTTTTGTACTGGAGCTACAAGGTTCATGTTTTTCAAAACGGCTACCACGTGCGTCCGGTAACTTTTGTCTTGCCATTAAAGATGAAAAAATTTTCGTTGGTAGGTATATGTGGTAGCTTTAACAAAAAATGCAGCGATCTCGGATGAACGATAGGTTAGTAAAATATTTTCCTCTGATTCCTCTAATTTTTTTTGTACATGGATTTAAGATAAACACGATTTAATTATACAAGCCCAGCGTGCAAAGAGGCTTTTTCCATTTTAATCTTCCGTCACATTCTTACGGCGCAATGATACAACTATTTGAACTCTCCGGAATGCGTGAGGTATCACGCCGCATTTGAAGGCGTTTTCAAAACAGCCAAGTTCCGATACCCGGATTATCGTTTTGAATAATTCATATTATTTTGTAATATTTCGTACCACTTGTTTATTCTTAATCCTCGTATGAAAACCACCCATTTGCTAAATACAATTCTACCTGAAACTCACTTTAGCTATGCGTTGATGACTGCAAAAATGTGAACGGAAATCGACAAGGCCAGCGTGCATGAAGGCTATTTCAATTGTAATCTTCCGTCACATTCTTACGGCGCTATGGTACAACTATTTGAACTCCTCGGAATGCGTGAGGTATCTCGCCGCATTTAAAGGCGTTTTCAAAACAGCCAAGTTTCGATACCCGGATTATCGCTTTGAATAGTTCATATTATTATGTTACTAGGGGCTTATGGGGCTGCTTGGCAGCCCCTTATTTTTCATGTACACCTTTCCCTTTCGCATGTCTTTTTTTTTTATTTATTTATTTTCATTCAATTTTTTGGTTTGTCTTTGAATTGGTCCTAATTTTTTCTTTGAAGTAATAAATATAACAAATTTTTTCAAAAATTTTAAGTTTATTTTGTAAACTTTGTATTAAAATTTTTTTAAACCTTCATACAAACTTCTTTTTAAGCTTTTACTTTTGTTTTTGAACTAAGTTTTAAGTATCGGTTTTTTTATCTTCTAAATACTTTACCCTGTTTTCCTTTTAATTGTTGCTTCTTCTTTTTCGATTTCTGCCCTGCTTTTTTTCCAATTTTTCCTTCAACTCTTCTCTTTTTCGTTCTTCCTTTTTTTTCTTCTTTTTTTCTTCTTTTTCTTCTTCATTTTCGGCTCCCTCTTTATATTCATCCAACTCTTCCGCTTTTTCTTCTTCTTCTTCTTGTTCCTGTTCCTTCTTCTTTCCATTTTCCGTATTTTCTGTTTCAGAAGTTTTTTCTTTTTCCAGTTTCTTCATCTTACTGTTCCACATGAATGTTATAAGAAAGAAAAATTGGAGGTTATTGACTTGATGAGGAAAAATTGGAAATGGAAAAAGATGGAGCCAATTACGATTTGGGGGTAAAATTGGAAAAGAAAAAACGCGGGAAGATAATATGACAAAGCGTAAAAAAAAACGCGGAAAAGAAAAATGTCAGTTGATGTCAGTTGAGTGTTGGAGGTAACCTCATTTAATGATGATTGTTGAATGAAAACAGCTGATGAAAAGACAGCAAATAGTAAAGTAAGATGCGTAGCAACAAAACTTTTCCGAAAAACAAAAAAGAAAAAACCCCTACTTCCCCTCATCCAATTTATGAGTTTTTAGGGATTTAAAAATCGGGGACAAACCCCAGAAAATAATTTATAATTTTCCCGAGGCATTGAGTACAACACCATTTCAAACGAACCAACGCCCCTCGCAATTAGTACAGAGAATAATTCACAATTTCATTCTATTTTTCAATTTATATATTAGGATTCTGGGCTGTGTTGCTATATCGTGCCAAAGATAAAGTTTTGCCCACTGATTCGTGCGGAAAATGTTAATCCAGGTTTTTGTAGGGAAATGTCAAAATCGGAAATTTTGAAAAGTCAACCCACCAACAAGCGCAACATTAAATCGGAGCCACTCCCAACCAGATAATTTCAGTGGCGTGACGTGAATGATCGATTATCGATATTTCTCCATTTGAAACTGTATTAAAGAATCGATTGTCAAGGTGTTCGCTGCAAACACCCTGCTTATCGATCCTTTTCCATAGTTTTGAATGACAGATCTATCGATATATCGCAAAGCACGCCACGCCACTGGATAATTTTCAACTCGCATCGATAGGTGATTAAGAGGCGTTGAACTTTCAGCAGGACGATAATATTGCAGGGTAGAGCCGCAGACTTTCGATTTTATCATGCACTGATACTTAACGAGAATATTGGTTTCATTCGATCAAGGGAAGTATTATTTGACAATAATAATAATTATTATTATTTTAGGGACTTATCCATTCTTTTACCCCCTGATTCCCGTTATCTTTTAAACGCTGAAAGAAAGCGTTGACTTCGGAGGCTTTGGTATTTAATTTTCATTTCTCTTTACGCACTAATTGAACATGAAACATTTTGAGGAGAACTCCAAGTTCCGATTTAAGTGTCAGGGTACATGAATAGAAAATTGAGCCATCGAAATTCTCTCATCGAAACCTCAGCCAAATAAAAGTACCTGATTAACCATATCACGCACACTGGAATAAAAAAGTAGCTTGGATCTAGAATCCAGACTCTTAATAATATTAACAAGGAAACGTACTCACGATTCAATTAAATTTTTCCTTGAATCAAAGAGCCGAGCCTCTTGATTTAGGCGGATTACCTTTTGATTCAAGCAAGAAGTCCGATTGAATCAAGAGTATTTTTTCTTGTCAATATGTTTAAGAGTCTTGACTCTAGATCCAAGCGACTTTTTCTTCTAGTGCAAGAAAAGTTTAAGATTCTACTCTACTTTTTATAGACATCGTCTTCCATCAGTTCACCTTCAGTTTCTGTAGATAGGCAACAAATCTACACCGGAAAGCCTGACTCATATTTAAAAGTCATTCGAAGAGCGCAAATTCATCTCGCTGCATACCCTCTTTGACGGAATTAACCCATGAATGATGTGTGCATCCACTTAGAGCCGCCTTCAATTTCGCTGCATAGGCAACAAACTTACTGATGTGCCCCGAGGGGTCATCTCTTAAGAACCCACACTTTTCTTGCTCAGGAAGCTTTGATTGAACCTATGGACGACGCTATAAACGTATCAGTAGGTATCTTCCATTTGAGGAGCTTGAGGCGAAGGCGCATAAGTACAGTTTTTGAAAAAATTTAGGTATGATTGATTTCAAGTTAAGCTAATTTTAATGCAAATTCTGTGAAAAATTCGCTCTCAAATTCGACTTTTTAAGCATCGAAAGTCAGTTTGAAATTTCTTTCCGCCATGCAGATGAATGTAATTTCAAAACTTCACACACGTATTTCTCGAAATAGCAAACACTGCACTCATGTGCCTTGTCACCTAAACCCCTCATTTGAAGTCCGCCTCCTGTTTCTCCGCATATGCAAGAACCTACCAGGGAGCTTGTACAGTTATTCATTCGAAAAAGATACATTTTTATGATCCATAACCTTTGATTCAACAGGGCTGTGAGCTTTCCTCACATTGGCGATCTCTAAGGGAATCGCAGCTTAAAAAGTTTGTCTGCTATTTCAGCACAGGGTTCAGTTTGTCCTTTGCTGTTGGACCACAACTAAGAGTGAATCGTTTATCCTTGAACCGCCACTCCATTCAAATTAAGTTTTTTGTTTTAATTTCATAATTAATAGCAGGCTGCGCTCTTGGTTGGAACCTTTTTATGCTTCATTTTTAATTAAAAAATTTTACGTCACGTTTTACGAGCATATTTATATTTTAGTGCTTTACTTTGCCTCACTGAGTTGTCCTCCGCATCGTTTCTAAAATTCATATATTTTTTAAAATCTTTCGTCACCCAATCTAACAAACTTGCAATCTGAATCGATTTTCTCGTGTAAGTTACGATCTTTTCAATTTTTTCGAAGAGAAATTGATGAATCTAAAATAAATGTTGCAATGGTTATAAGTTGCATTCTTCGACTTTAGACATCGTTGAGCAACACCGTCCCTGTCTTATTCCATACTCCATAGTTTTTGCCTTCGTATTCCTGTGAAGTTCAAGTGAGAGACTTGAAGTAAAAGGCGTATAAGTGCACAGTTTCTGATATTTCAAGAAATACATGTTTGAAGTTTCGAAATTACACGGATCCTCACGGGGGAAAGAAAGTTCAAACTGACTTTATGGAGCTTAAAAATTGGAATTTGGGATCGAATTTTTCACAGAATATGCATTGAAACTAGTTTAATTGGACGTATTTCTACCAAACAGACCTATGTGGAGGTGAGAAATATGGGGTGTGCTCGTGGAAGCTGCATAAGAAGCAATGTAAAAGTGTGCGTGATTCCTTTTGAAGAATTGGAAAAGCGGGATTTTACATTCTATCAAACAGACCTATGTGCCAACTGAATGCAGAACTCATGAGCCGCGGGCATAGCAAGAGAGCGTTGTAGACAGGGCTCATGAGTTAAAGCGCCCCGAGGACGCTCCCCCGAGGCTGCCCCGCTTTTTCATTGCCGCTGACGTCACTGGCGCTTTATTATTCTCATTCACTCTTACGGGCAGAGAACTAACGAACACACCCCATATTTCTCACCTTCACATAGGTCTGTTTGGTAGAAATACGTCCAATTTGAAATCGTTAATATCTCAATTTTTTCCAAAACTACTCTTATGTGCCTTGTCCTCCCAGCCCCTCAAGTAGAATCGAGCACAAAGCTCAGAGAACTTGAGTTGTCGCGCGATAAGAAAGGACAAAATCACCAGACGTAGACACGGGGATCTCGCGTTATCACAGAAGAGGATCACTTGGCGTCGCCTAGTCTAGGTTGATGAAACTTTCGAAATCGAACAGGTGTCGTTATTCGCGAACGACGACCGATAGCTCTCGTCATGGAATCTATTACCTCCATCAGTCGATAGCACTATTTGATCAAATAATCTCAATCTGACTCGCGCGGCGACCAATCTGACCGTGCCCAAGACGCATTCAATAACGTTGCCAGCTAAACTTAATGTTTCAAAGAATTTTACGATGACACTCATTGCATGCAGCTGGGATTTCTGAATTCAAGGTGGGATCTCTTTACTGTGAATTTTTGCTAGAAGACGTAAATTGTACCACTGAAATGCATGAAGTTCACATTCCAGCTACAAGGCTCTAAGAATCTCGTTCTGCGATGACGGCTGTGAGACCCTACTACACTATATTGAACTATGCTACATTATACTATGGTATACCATACTATACTACAAATATTTCTATATTTTAAAGGAGCTCATGCATACTAATCACGCTCATCCCCTCCCAGTCACGCTGAAATTATGTCAACCAGTCAAAACATGATCAATCAATCAATTAGCCAGTATTGATCCAAGATCAGTTCCTGGATGCAAAGATTTACGCCTTTTTTGGTTCCTTCCTAACATAGTGAGACCAAACGTCACACGATGTTTTCCTTCTTCTTCTTTTCTTTTTCTTTTATTAATGTTTCTGTGTCGTTTTACATTTGAGTATCCTTCCCAGACCGCCCTTTGCGATCAATGTAAGAGCCACCAAACATTTAAATGCTATATTTTCAGAGCAGAGGTTGATAAAAGGAGCGTACGAAGGTTTTAGTCTCAAATGAATCAGTGAGAACAAAAACACACCAACTCGGTAACTCGAAAATGCTCAATTTCCATTAAAGACAGTTAATTTACATAGAGATTATTCAAGTTAGCGCATCTGTCCCAACTTGGACCTTCAAAGTTCCCATAAGTACTTGTCTTTCAGCAGCAAAAATCTTCTTCTTGAAGTGACTTCTTCACCTACCGTGCAGTTTTGAGCGTGTCTTGATTATTTTCATTTTTCCGAGTTGCTGTGTTTTCGTCCTCACTGATTCAAATATAGATCGTATGGACGTCTTGCAGGAAGTGAAAATTCGAAATTTGTTAGAATTTCATACCAGTGTATGGCATTGCCTCAGAAAATACGCGGTACCTTAATGTCTGGAAAATTTCTGAAGGTAATAATTAATGCCGGCAACACCGTCTTGCACCCTAATTTGGTCCCTTTATCTTTACAGTTGTTTCGCAAGTTTGCCGTCGGTGATAAGAGGCGATTAATTGAAAGCTGGATGCGACTTAGTCAAATAAATCCAGGGCGTCAATCAGTCTGATATTGTGGTCGCTAATCCAGATTGTCCTTGTAGAGTCGCTTTGGAATCCTCGCGGTGTAAAGTTGGTCTTTTCTTGTTCTTGTCTTTTCCCGAGTCACCCCCGCAGATCTGAATGGAGGACATATCATCTTCCGGCGAAGAAATCAGCATGAAAGGTAAAGTTCCCTTAAGCATTTTCGGAGGAGTAAAAAAGGAGTTTCGTGTGCAATGTGAATTCGTGTAAAAAATTAAAGTGGAAACATTGTAATTTAAGTAATTACGAGGCTTAGGAGCAATTCTGGGGTCACTTATACGAAGTCAAAACTTACATTAAGTTTTTACAAGTAGCTAAGTAAGGGTTGGAGTAGCGGAGTGAAAAAGCTTGCCACAGTTTGGAGAATTTTATAACACGCGCATCGACATTTCTTATTCACCTCAATTTTAAGTCGGTAACGGTATTCAGTAGGTTTTTTCTGATTTCACTTAAAACTTTATTACGCATTTTAGGTCGGAAAGTTTAGAATGGCCTTTGTACAAACACCAATCGCGCGGTGAACAAGCACAATGTAAGTACCCAGATCTGAAGAAACAGGGGTAGCTGTAACAAAAGGATCGTTAAAATTAAGTAGCACTATTTGAAGATACACCCCGAATAACTCTCATCCCTCAATTTAATTAACTCCAGTGGGGTGAATCTAAGGGAGGTGAAGTTTTTGAATTTCATCCTTTTGTATTTTTATCATCATCATCATTATTATCATCACAATATATAATTCCGTAAGCCCGATCTTTCAGGTCAAAATTCAGTGGGAACCTCCGGGCCGATCCAGGCACGTGCTGCCGTGCTAAGGAAGAACGCCGTATGAACATTCGAGAGTTGCCAAATTTACTTCGATAAAATGTTCAATTTCTAAGAAAGTTATGAATATTTTTTCTTGAAATTTTCAGAATCTTCAGGTGAAATAGTGAACAAAATGATCTGAAAAATTGGGAGGAAAATATTCACAAGTTTACCAGAAAATTCGCGTTTTAGGAAAGGAAATTTGGCAACGCCTGAAGGTTCATACGGCGTTTTTCCTTAGCACGGCAGCGTGTGGCACCGGCTTGACCGTCCCGGTCCCCCGATGGCCGGAAAAATAGAGGGATCGCGCGGGTTGCTCCCTTTGAAAGATCGATTATCCCGTTGGTCCCGTCGGGAGATGCGCGATTTTTCGTTAATTCAGGGCGCTTTTTTTGGATGAGTTGATAATTCGACTCCTCGAGGCATTTGTCATCCTGGAAATCGCCGTGAATGATGAATATACGGCGGAAGCGTTCATCAAAATTTTACCTAAATTAACAGTATTCACACAACGAGAAGTTCGGAGATCAACTTTTGAACGAGGTATAAACAAATCGATGACCAAAGTGCGAAGCCCGCGGATCTCTTTTTGCGACGTTGCAGAGGCAAACTCCCTGCCAAACTCAACGCAATTTATTAAAAACTATCTTGATTTTTTTCGCCTTTAGCAGAATAGTCTATGTATGTTTCAAGCTATAAAGTGTACGTTAGCTTCTATATCAATTAAAAAAAAATGAAAAAATGAGTGAACAAAAACAGGAGAATTTCCCTAATCTTTCGCTCCCAGGATTGCAGGTTCGCGGTGTGAACACCAATATGCGACGAGGATATCGATCTCTCGACGTAGAGCTCGAAGGATCAAAATCCTAAGCCTAGATTAACTCCGAACCCTGATAATAACGTTTTTTATGAATAAATTCAACCTTTCTGCTCATGGAAGAAAAAATAATTTACTTGGGTTAAATTGCACGCCAAACTTCACTATGACAGTCTTAGTAATATGAAAATATGGCAACCGCAATCTTGACGCTTAGCTCAAGCTGTACACACTTTGAACAACACAGCGTAGGACAGAAACAATGATCGATTGAGTATAGTCTGCTAAAGCCGTTGTAGTGCGCAATTTGACTCGCGTATGGTTTTGTTTTTCTTTTGACCGGGCAATTCTAAGTTCCCGTAACCAATGGACAGTAAAAACGTTAATATCTGAACTAGAAATTGAATCCAGTAGTTTTAGTCTCGAGAATTGTGTTCTGCGTGAAATTCTGGTGAAGAATCATGTAACAGAGTGCTTAAATTCGTACCTTGTTCAATGGTCCCTTCAATCTAAAAAAGCGAACATACGGAACTTTCCTAACTTTTCTTAGAGAAAATATTGTATTGGGAGAAACTAGGCAACGTTGGAGTGCTCATATGGCGTCGAAACACTACATGGGCCTTTTAAGCCCCATTGTTTGATGCCGCGATTATCCTAATAGTCCAGGCAATTGGGCATCAAATAGGGGCTCTTGGGGAAAATTTCCCGGAAAACTTTTTGATGAGTGATTCCTATGTATTTTTAGACGCTGAATCCGAATTTCGCATTTGTGTAAAGATCTTTTCGCCGCTAAAGCCGCCATTTTGAAAAAATGGCCTAAAAATGGCCTAAAATCCCAATTTTTGAAAATATCTCGCTTATTTTTGATTTTTTGACCAAAGTAGTTATTTTCAAAAATAAACTACATAAAATTCTAAAGAAAACAAGTTCTTATCAATTTTTTGATATGACTGAAATTTAAGCCGCCAGAGCGCGCTGAAAAAACCGCCGAAATTCGAATTTCGCCAAACTTGCGCTTTTCTCGTGAATAACTTTTCTCGGGGTGACTCTACGTGAAA